ACCAGACCAGACCAGACCAGACCAGACCAGACCAGACCAGACCAGACAGACAGACAGAGGCTCCAAATTTGCTTATCAACCCAGCCCCTAAACAATTCATACTGGGACACTCTTGTAGGACACTCTTGTGGGACACTCTTGTGGGGCACTCTCGTGGGACACTCTTGTGGGACACTCTTATAGGACACTCTTGTGGGACATTCTTAACTCTTGTGAGACACTCTTGTGGGACATGGTTGCGGGACTCTTGTGGGACACTCTTGTGAGACAGGGACACTCTTGTAGGACACTCTTGTGGTAGGACACTCTTGTGGGTCACTCTTATGGGACACTCTTGTCGGACACTCTTGTGGGACACACTTGTGGGACACTCTTGTGGGACACTCTTGTGGGACACTCATACGGGACACTCTTGCGGGACACTCGTGTAGGACACTCTTGTGGGACATGCGGGACACACTTGTGGGACACTCTTGTGGGACACTCTTGTAGGAAACTCTTGTGGGATACTCTTGTAGTACACTCTTGTGGGACACTCTTGTAATTCAATTACCCTGGGCTTGTTTACCACCACCTTGAAAATTGTTTGGAGTCAAAACGCGTTTTTTGAATTTTTCCAGGTTAAAGTTCCATGAATCAAGTAAACCTCATAAGAGTTAAGTAAGGATTTGAAAGGGCAGCTATAGCAGAACAATCGTTAGATTTTTCCCGTAGGGCTCCAAGTTTGCTTATTGATCCCACCCCCTAGACAATTCATACTATTAAATTACCCTGGGTTTGTGTACTAGCCAATAGAAAAAACATTGTTTGGAGCAAGGAATTCGTTGAGTTTTAATAGGCTTTTTCAAAACGGCTTTCAGGTTAGAGCTCCATGAGTCAAGCAAACCTCAGGAGAGTTAAGTAGGGGTTTTATAGGGTGAGCAATAGCAGAACAACAGAAAAACAAACAAATCTCAAAATTACACCGGCAAGGGACCCCAAATAGTGTAAAGAGGAACAGATGGAACATGGCATCACGTGGAAGGAAAGAAGGAGCACACAGATGAGAGCACAAATATGAGAGGATACATACAAGAGCGCAAATGTGAGAGTGCAGATTCACGAGCACAAATAAAAGCACACATATGAGAGCATATGGGAGCACATATGAGAGCACATGAGAGCACACATCTGAGAGCACAAATGTGAGAGCACATACAAGCACAAATCTGAGAGCACATAGGCGAATACATAGGAGCATTTCAAAGTTCACAATGTACCGCGCTTGCTACGAAATCTGCACATGGAGGTTCACAAAGTACTGCGCCTGCCACGAAATCTGCACATTGAGATTCACAAAGTGCTGTGCCTGCTACGAAATCTGCGCATCGAGATTCACAAAGTGCTGCACCTGCCACGAAATCTCCACTTCCAGACTCAGCAAGCGCTGCGCCTGCCACGAAATCTGGCCCACGCAACATGCCGCGCCCACACGCGCGAACCCTGATCTAAACCCGCTTAACTCTTACCGTAAGAACCCCTTAGTGCGGAGCACTATGGGGAAAAAGGACACTGGGTGAAAAAAATCTGTATTATTACGACCGACCCATTAGACCAATCAGGGTGCGTGAATAATTTGGCAAAATCTTTTTGTTATTCCGTCACACACCATTAAGGATTCAACATTGAGGTGATGGACTACCCCCACAACTGCAGCCTCGCAATTACAGGAAATGAAGAGATCTCTTTCTAGCATTCTGTAGGTGTGTGCCATCACTGAATCCGCCCAGGCTGCGGGGGGCAAGGGTGGTGTACCTTGGGTACACCGCCCGAGCTTTGGAGGCCAAGACTCTTGGCCTTCCTCAGCGTCAGCCAGGGGTCCCAATGGCTCAAGTTTTCTCGCCCGCCGGATCCTGCCCACGCCCGGGGCTGCGCGTAATATGCGGCGAGGCTGCCGCCCATCACGGTGAGTTGATAGATTTTCTCAAATCGAAAAGGCGTGAAGGCGCTGACGTGCAGAGCGTTCCGGAGCCGGGCGTCCCGCTTTGTCTATGTAGGGACCACCGTGCGCGTGCTGCGTGTCCGGACGTTGGGCTTGCCCCGCCGCCAGGACAGTCCCAATAGTGACGATATCATTTGTAACTTGGCTGCTGTTGCCCCTCCAGGGTGCCGCTGCCGGATGTGCAGTATTTTTGTCCGCGGCACTGGACTCGGAGACAGACAAAACATGGAGCACTGACTTCCATTCACTAGGTTGTGTGGCCGCGTGGAGCTTGGGTGCTGGCGCCGCAGCCTGCAGCGGGGTGCTGCTGCCAGATGTGGCCGCGTGCGTGTTGGGGCTTGGGCGCTGCTGCTGCTGAGATGTGTGGCCGTGTGTGCCTTTGGAGCTTGGGTGCTGGTGCAGGTCCACAAAGCGCCGCACCTGCCACGAAATCTACACTTCAAGGTCCACAAAGCACTGTGCCTGCCACGAAAATGCCCCTCGCCTGTCACGAAATCCACTCGTCAAGGTCCACGGCCCACAAAGTCTGCTGCGAAATCTGCACTTCAAGGCCCACAAATTTATGGCCACAGCAGCGGCACCCTGCAGCAGTACTTTATGGAGCTTGAAGTGCAGATCCAGGCAGGTGCAGCGCTTTGCGAAGTCCAGATTTCGTTGGAGGCGCGGTACTTTGTGAACCTCGAAGTGCAGATTTCGTGGGAGGCGCATCTTAATTTTTTTTGCCATCACCATCACCAGCTCCACCACCGCGTCGCCGCCGTCTACCACCATCGCCGCCGCCACCAACAACAACAGCAAGCCATTGTATGACGCATGGGTCCAGGTGCCTTCGGAATGAAGCAGGAACTTGGCTGAAGAAGGGGGTGGGTTCTGGGGGTGGGTTGTGGCATTGTTCAAGTCGACTTGAAGATGATGATGCTTAAGGTGATGGACTACCCCCGCAACTGAGGCCTTGCAACTACTGGAAATGAATCTCTTTCTAGCACTCCGGAGCCCGCCCAGCCGCGGGGGGCAAGGGTGGTGTACTGTGGGTACACCGCCCGAGCTTTGGATCTTGGCCTTCCTCAGCGCAAGGCCCGAGACTGCGCAAAATATGCGGCGGGGCTGCCGCCCATCACGGTGAGTTGATTTTCTCAAATTGAACAGGCGTGAAGGCGCTGATGGCAGGAACTTGGCTGAAGAAGGGGGTGGGTTATGGTAGGCTGGTGTATCATTTTTCGTTCATGTCTTGTAGCTATAAGCAGCTCGCGGACCCCTTCGTCAATCTCTTTATTTCCGGCCCGCTTGGTGAAGCAGTGCGTTTGCTCGGTTTTCTGATGAGATTTTCTCATTGACAGTTGTGTATGAGGGCTTGTTTCCTCATAATTCCGGCAAGGCTGGCAAGAGATAGCTGGAAGAGGGGATCTCACGTGCAGAACGTTCAGGAGCCCGGCGTCCCGCGTGGTCTACGTAGGGACCACCGTGCGCGTGCTGCATGTCCGGACGTTGGGCTTGCCCCGCCGCCAGGAGGGTCCCAATAGTGATGATATCATTTGTAGCTTGGTTGCTGGCGCCGCTGCAGGGTGCCGCTGCCAGATGCGTGGCTGCGTGGAGCTTGCGCCGCAGCCTACAACGGGGTGCAGCTGCCAGATGTGTGGCCGCATGCGCGTTGGGGCTTGGGCGCTGCTGCTGCTGCTGCTGCAGGGATCCGCTGCCAGATGTGTGGCCGTGTGCGCCTTTGGAGCTTGGGCGCTGCTGCTGCTGCTGCAGGGGCGCCGCTGCTGTGGCCATAAATTTGTGGGCCTTGAAGTGCAGATCAGGCTCCATGACGTGTGGATTTCGTGGCAGGCGCGGTGTAGATTTCGTGGCAGGCGCGGCGCTTTGTGGACCTGGAAGTGTGGATTCGGTGGCAGTCGCAGTACTTTGTGGACCTTGAAGTGCAGATTTCCAAGCAGGTGCAGCACTTTGTGAACCTCGAAGTCCAGATTTCGTTGCAGGCCCAGTACTTTGTGAACCTCGAAGTGCAGATTTCGTGGGAGGTGCAGCAAATGATGCTCTTAATTTTTTACACCCTCACAACAACAACAACAGTTGTACTAGCCCATTCTCTCATGCACACCTTTTGCTCTGACTGCAGCAAGCCATTGTATGATACATGGGTCCAGGTGCCTTCTCTTTGAGAGTCCCGATGGCCAACCGAAGCGGTTCTGTAGTGGATGAAAGCAAGAATCTAGAGAGACATTCGGTGGTTTGGGCGCCGAAGAGCATTCCCAAGGCACATGCCTCCAACCAGCGTACTGGCGCATGAAGTGCACCAAGGACAGGCAAAAACTGAGTAAGGATTCATCTTCTTGTATTTGGCAGGGCTAACACTAGCCCCCGTCACAATTGGAAAGCGCTCATTAACATTCGTGCGCATTCACGGCTATCAACCCTGGATTGTTGAAACCACTTCGAGAACACTGTGCACCGATTCTCGGATCGGGTGTCGGAGTTCATCCAATTTCTCTACCCAAGACTGGGAAGTTGCTCAAGGCGTCATGCTTGCACTCCCAACACTGGGTTTGTTCTTTCCAGCCGAGATCTCGCAAACACACACTCTACACACACTCAGCCAATGGGTCTCCGGGAACGTCGTCCATCGTGCTTTTTTACATGGTAAAAACAAAAACCATTGTGCTCGCTGCGCGCAAGGGGCAGCATCCCACGCGGATCCGCGCTGTGGCGTGAGGAACTTTTTCTTTGGGGCCGGTACACGACTCAGGTTTGAAGTCCACTATGGCACGGTGAAGACCCGTGTGAGGACTGATTCTCAGATGCGCGTGTGACGATTGGGCCGTGTGGTGGATCCAGGAGGTGTTGTGAAGTGGCACGTTCATGTTGTCCACTTCTCCCACAAAAGCACGCAGAATGAGCCCTCCGCATCATGTGTGGTTCACCAGGAACAACATAGAATCACATGATTAGTGATAGTGATAGTGGACATTTTGGGGGGCAAAGGATCCATTCCTTAAATCGCAGTGGTGTCACGATCTTTCATTGCCGTCACCACTACTTCTCGCCAAGTCAACCAGGACGGTGTGGTCTGTCTGTATCCGTCGGCCTTCTCAGTCGTTCTTGGTCCAGCTTGGCTCAAACTGTTTGGACGCCAGTGACCGTTTCAGCATGTCTTGATCCACTATTGATTTTGCTTGTGCGCAAGAAGCGCAAGAAGCGCTGGGAGCTCGCGCTGCGGAACCAATCTTCGCTGCAACGACCCAAACAAAACCCCGTATTGGCCTCAGACAGGGCAACACCTATGGCACCTATGGCAGGCTTTCCAAAAGCTCTTTTGGTGTGACCTTGCCCTGTCCCGGATTATGGCCATGATCATTCCATACACTCTTCACTCCAAGTTGCTGCTCTTCAACCCCTTCCTCCCCACACTAGAGCCACACACACCCCTCCTCGTTCCAGGCCTTTCACACCCCCTCCCTACCCCCCCACCGAGCTACCCACGCCCGAGCTACGCCCTCGTGGGTGTTGGCCCAGTGAGGCATCGCTACAACCTGGGACTGGCGCCAGCGGACCTGAGGGCCTTAGGCGTGCTGGGCGATGGCGCGGTGCGCGGTTGCCTGCTTCCCAGCTTCCCGAGCTCCACCTCGGAGCAGCTGCTTGGCAGGAGGGCGTGTGGCGACTGGTAGAGGACTGGTCAAGAGGAAAGGGATCGAAGAAGAAGGAGTAAAATAAATAAAGAGAGGACTCACAAAACCATGTGAGGCACGCTCAAAGTGATGGTTAACATGACAGCTGCTCTTGTTTTTATACGTCCCGTAGATTTTGTGGAAGGGGCTGACTTCTTAGAGCCCGGTCACCAACATCTGACATGTCAACGCATCAAAAAGCGATAGGACACAGCTCATGATGTTCATCTTTTTCTGGAAGGTCTCCATTCCGCTCTCCACATGCACATGAGGGTGGCGTATTACCTCATGGACCCGGAGCCCAACCTGGTGAACGTGGCCTTGAACCGCTGCCGGGCGCTCTGCGGACAGGCCTTCGCCAGGCTGGTGGTGCCGGCACCGGGTGGGGGTGGCGGCGATGGTCGTGGTGCTCGAACGAGGCGTTGGGGGTTGGGCTTTATATGGAGCTTTCGTGCTTTTTTTGAGAGACCACAGGAAGAGCCAGGTCTACTGGCAGTGTCACAATACCTGCAAACCGGGTGCTTCTGTGTCCTCAGCGACTGTTTTGCAGGGCTTTCTGTTGGGAGGGTTGCCTCTTCGTGTTCTTTCGTTTCTACTGGGCCTTCCTCAGTGAAGATGGCGAATCCGGGCGACTGCGCCGAATCCTGCGAAGCCAGGCCTTGGAAGTTCTATGGCATCTTGCCCGAGCGGAACGAAGGACCGCCCAAGAGATTGGCCGAAGGAGTTGGCCAGTACAGCAGGTAGAACGAGGGGCCTTTGGTGAGGTTGTCAGGCCAATGTTTACAGAGAAACTTTTGGAACCCTTCAAAGTCAAAAAAACCTGCAGGTTGGTGCAGGTGCTGCCGGAGTTCTAGCACTGAGGCTCTTTTGCTTTAGTTTGGGCGTTCCTTTGTTTTTGAGGTCTCTACGATTCAAAAGTCAGTTGAGGGAGTTGAGTCCCACGCATGGGAGTTGGATGCTGAGAATTCATGCGGCAACTGAGGGCTAGAAGGAGATGAAGGTCGCAAGTCCTTCAACACGTTCTCGAATAGCATCAATGCGTAGTAGTGTATAGGAAGGAAAGGTGTGCGAGTTCCAAGAGCGTTCCAAGAGAGTGTTTTCAATTGTTCTTCATCTCTTCAAACCTGCATTCGCCAATGCCTTGTCAATCCCACCAGCCGCGCAAACACCAAGCCGAAACCTCAACGTCCCAGTGGCAGGAGCCTTTCGAGGAATCCCTTGCGCCTGCAGCGGACTTGACCATCGAGCAGAGGGGAACTGCACGCGTCTTCGCTTCGAATTGAGCGACTGACGTGGCTGCTTGCTCTCTCTTTCCTGCTGCGAGCAGCGTCCACCCTGCTTTTTCCAGTCTTTGGCTTCTTGAATGGAGCTGTCAGATTCTGTTTTCCAATTGACTGCTTCAGTCCAACGGAAGTGAGTAGGGAGCCCGATCGCCGATCCTCCCTTCTTCGCCAGGCGTTGGGGCAACATGACAGTCTAGCAGCCTAGCAAATCTGGAAGAACCTCTGCCACAAACCCATTGGTTCCAAGCGGAACCTGGTTTTGGGTGACTGGGTGACCTCGGAATGTGATGTCGTGTTGTTGTTTTTCTCCCAGCTTGGCTGGTTCCACTCCCTCAATGCGCAGCTTCCCTCAACGGCCGGGCCGGGCCGCCCAGGCCACCCGAAGTGCCGCTCTTCTCCATGCCGCGCGAAGTCCGTTCCGCTGAGGACGGCCCACAGGCGCGGCCGGGCTCTGCGTGGTCGTTTGTGTGCCAACGGAGGGAGTGGGAACATGGCTGGTCCGACTTGGCTTACAGGATTGGAATCGGCCAATTCTGGTGGTTCTTGGGTGGCATAGAGTCTTCCGTGATTTGGTTTCGGGGCCTGGAGTCTTGGGCTACTCTTGACTTGGGTCAAGAGTCGAGATAGCAAAACCCACCGATTTGCTGATCCCGTTTCCGCCAGATTCAGTTAGTTGTGTATGCTGATTTTAGTGGAGCCAAATGACCGACGGACACTTGCTACCTGTTGAGACCATCCTTTCCTGAGACCATCGAGCACCTCGAAAAGTTTTCTTATGATGGTGCGGACCTCAACTCCGACCACCCAGAAACAGGTGTTTTTCATTGTTTTTTTTCTACTTTCCATGACACATTCCGAACATTCCTTCTTTGGTGTTTCTACTTGTGCTCATCTTCCTGCTCCTTGTGCTCATTGGTGCTGCTTCACCTGGCCCTACCTGCCCCGTTGCACCGTCCAGGCTCTTTTGGGCTCGCACCTCGTCCCGCTCCTGGATCCCAAGGTGGGTGGTCTCGCTGCCGGATCCTTCGGTTAGTCCGGTCGTCTCTGTCGTCTCGGCGTCGTCCTCCTCTTCTTCTTCCGTCTTCTTCCTTCTTCCTTCTTCTTCTTCTTCCTTCTTCTGTTTTCCGTCTTCTTCCCTCCACCAAGCTCCATGTCTTCTTCCCATGTTGACTTGGGAAGACTCGGGAGGACCGATCACGTGTCAGGGAAGAATTGGGTGGGGTACGATCAGCAAGGTTCAACTGTTTCGATCCCTTTTTGGCTTCGTATCACCGTATCACCGTATGTCGAAGACTGATCCTTTTTTTTCATCTTTTGGCTTCGTTCGGTCTCGAACTTGGACTCTGAAGTGATGTCGAAGACTGCTCCATCCAAGAACACCATTTTGGGCCAAGAGACTGCCAGAAAAAACCGGACCAGTCGTCGCTGATCCGGTGAAGATGGAGCTGAACCACCCGTCGTGCAGAGCCCTTCGGGCTCCGGGTTCCGGTCCGGGTCCAACCGGTGCGTTCGAGGCGCCGGTCTTTGTGACCATGGTCTTCGGGAAGATGTCCAAGTGCGCCAGACACGGCGGAAAGGCAGGACGAACGGAAGACGCCGGAAGACGAACGAAGTGATAGGTGTCCTGAGGTCGAATGGTCATCCAGTCGGACACTTTCTCATAACTTCGAAATAGCAAGCACCAGTCTGGAACGTTCACATCTTGGAAGACAATTGGAATACCACACCATGGGAATCCAAGTTCGCATCGGCGGCGGGTTGTTTTGTTGCATTTCTTCCTCCGGACTCGCCGATCAGATGGGCTCCCCGTGTCGGTCGTGTCGAAACCGTGAGTCCACGGGACCGTTGGAGCACCTCTCACCATTCTGGTGACCGCCAGCTCTGCCGGGTTCGAGTCGAGGGAGTTAATTTTTTTGAAGGGGGATGTTCTTGGAGGTTTTGTGGGTATACAAAGGTCTAGAGCCCAAATTCAGCGGATGTTTTCGGTCATGTTCAGGTCAGCTCGCTCATCGTCAGGCTTTTTTCTCTGGCTGTTTTCAATTAAGTGGGGACCACCCACAGGCTGCTTTTCCACGTGCCTTTGCTGCTTTTTTGAATCCCTTGAGGGGCTGGACACAGTTTCCGGGATGGAACTCCGCTCCTTCAGGTACATCAAACCCTTCTCCGAGCGGGTCAGGAGCGCCGGGTCCGGGCGATGTCCGGGCGCGGTCGGCGCGGTCCGCAGAGGCAGCACGGAGACACACATAGATCATCTAGATCTCTGGAGATCGCGTTTTTCGGACCTTCAGAGGATTTGCCGCGTCGGGAAAGTCGGGACCTTCGGGACATCATGTCACGGAAAGGGGGGCCAAGGGTGGGATCCTTTTCAGCCCTAATCTTCAAAGGCTCAGTTTAACTTCGACGTTGTTTCTGTCTATGTTTAACCAGGTCAAACTTCGTCGTTCTGCGGAGTCTGTTCTGTTTAAGACAACTATATAACATGAGTAAAACTTAGACGCACTGAGGTGTACAAGTTTAACTTCGACGTTTCTCATTGGCTAAGTTAAACTTCGACGTTGGAAGTTCTGGGATCAGGATCAGTGCCCGGTCGCAGTCTCGACTGCATGTGGCGTCGCATATATGGGGCGTGCCAGGTCGCCTGGTCCCTCCAACGTCCGCAAGTCACCCAAACCGCTTGTTGGGCACCCAGAATCGCCCCAAACCCGCGGGATTTGGATCCTCCTCCAAACCGATCTGCCCTTATCGACCCGAGGAGCTTGGAGATCCCGAACGTGGTGGTGTTCGCGTTGGATGACCGGAGCTCAGCGACCGAAGGGCAGAGAATGGTGCACCGGTGCAGCGGTGCACGGGTTGGTTTGGATCAACCTGGCCAGGTGCGGGTTCGGCTTGAGGACATCAGGTCTGCATGAGCAAGGGAGTCAAGGACACTATAAATATATAGACTTCAAGTAGGGAGGGGTGTTGGATTTTCAGGGATTCTCAGTGAAACATTCGGATCTTCTTTTTTTCCCATCGACCCAAACCCATCCATTCCCATCCTCAACTCGTGGCTTCAGCGTTGGCTCGACTTGGCTCCGGTACATCACCAGGAGTATAGCAGCAGCAGCTCCCCAGCGCCAAAAACCGGCATCAGGGCAACACATGGCAACACGTCTTCGGCACAAACAACTGGTCTTGGGAAGCCTCAGCCAAAGGTGTTTTCCAAAGCCAAAACCGAGGGTGGCCGTTGCTAGTCATTGATCCGACCAAGCACATTAGGTTGAGAGGTTTGGACTCCTAGGACCAAAAAAGCGGTGCCAGCTGAGCCAACAACATAGTTTGAGGTTCAATTGGTCCTTCAAATTCCACTCAAATTCCCTTTGAGGAATTGGAATTCTCCCTTTTCTTCGCGTTTCTTGGACGCCGGAAGAGTGGCGCGCCTTTCGTCTTCAGCCATCTTCAGCCATGCGTGCCGCTGGAACGGCTCTGCGCAGCGCCCTTCTTCGGCGATGGCCAGGCGGGTTCAAGCAGCGAAACGCGGTTGGCAGGGGAAGCTTTGGGGATATCTTCTGCGGGTGGCATGTTCACCCGGAACTCGTTTACTTTCTCTTTCGTTTTTTTTTGACGGAAAAGGACACGTGTGATGTTGATTTTGCGGAGACTTTTGTGCGGTCTGATTGTGCTGTTGCATGCGGGTATAGCTGGCCTTTTTGCGTAGCAATGACAAGGACTGACAGAACAGAGGTTCCAAACACTTGTTTTTTTATTCGAGCACTGACTGCAATGCTTGATTGGGCTCAAGCACTTGATTGATTGCACCGCCCCTCCCGACTGTCTGGATTTTAACCTTCCTTTGGCTCGCACCATGCCTGAGTACGAGCTCTTCTATTTCCCCATCACCGGACTTGGCGAGCCCCTGCGCTTGACCTTCGTGGTGGGTGGCGTCCCCTTCAAGGACACCACGCCCGCCAACGACAGCAGATTCCAGGATCGCAAGGCGGCGGTGCACCCCTACGCGCCGGAAGCCACTGGTCTGCCGGTGCTCACCATCGACGGCAAGGCCTATGCTCAGAGCCGCGCCATCTTGCGCTACCTGGGACGGATTTGCAGTTATGAAGGAAATCCACTCTATCCCTTGGATCCCATGGAGCAGTTGGAATGCGATGAGATGATCGAAGTGGCCGAAGATCTTCGCCAGCCCTTGCTGGGCAGCTTTGCCATCCAAGACCAAGCGGAGAAGGAAGCCTTTAGGGCCAATTTGTTCGCGGAGGATGGCAAGATGACCAAGTGGCTGAAGGTGGCTTGAAAATGACTTCTGTGGGTTTGAAAAGGAGTTGATCAATTCAACGATCCTGGATCTTCAAAACGGCCCAACATTTTCTGCCGGAGGCGTTTTTTCCGGTGAAAAGACGCCGTACTCAAAACAGATGCCGTTCTAACCGTTGCAAACATGTGCAGGGGAAGATGCCATTTGGACGCTTAAAAGCGCTGTTTATCATTTTCTCCCCTCACTAGACAATTCGCTGGTTGCTGCCTTGTCATACCAAAATCGCCGTCTTTGGGAACAGACGCCGCAACGACATTTTTCCCTGAGAAGGCAAGTAGTTGTGCCGTTTCGAAGATCCAGATACCCAGACACTCCATGTATAGCATATTTATCTACATTGGGGTGGTTGAAAAGGGGTCAATGTAGTTGAATATGCCATGCATGGTCCGGGATAAAAAGACATGCAAAAATAGGCTTCGCAGATGAGTCCAATTCATCAAGAACATTGCCACCCCGCCTTGGTTCAAGATTCTTCATCCAAATCCATCCACCCCAAGGGGACCATCTAAACCCGCACCTCGCCGGTGCAAGAGCTGCGGGTCGCCGGGATGGGATGAAACCAGCCCACGCCACGCCTTCTCCGCTCGGCTTCTCCGCTCGATGTGGTGGACCGGCCAGACCACCGGTCCTTCTCCGCTACAGGTCGTCGACCGGATGCTGGGACAGAAGTTCCCCAGCAAGGTGACCATCGGCACGATCTACCTGTGGAGCTTGGTCACCATGCTTCGGCAGCCCACCTTCCTGGATGGCGTGCCCGCGGATGCTTTGGCACCCTATGGGAACATCAGCAAGTTGCACCAGTTCATGTCGCAGGTGCCGCCCATCTTGGAATACTTTGCCACCAAGGAGAACCGGGAGAACTATAAGCCACTCGCCTAATCTCGTGACGTGACACGAGAACAGGGCCACCAGGGCCATGTTGTCTCGATGTCCCGTTGTGGTGCGGTGGTGCGGTGCGTTTCTGCACGCCGCGTAGCAGCGGTGGTTGGCCCTCGAAGACGACTGGGCTGAGCACCTGCGGCCGACAGTGGTTTGGATCGACGAGGAAGACAAAAGCGGCCGACAGGTCTCATGGTTCAAGGTTCCGGAAGTGAAGTTAATATGAACAAGGCCGACATAGATATAGGCTACAGGCAACAACTTTTGGTCCGAATCCTGCGCTTCTATTCTTCTATTAGAATCCCTTCAGAGGGTGAAGATTTGAACAACAAAACCGATACAAAATACCCCATGGCCTTTTTCTCTGCTCACATACCTGCTCCTTCCCCCATGGCCGGAGGCCACGTCGAGCGCTCGATGAGGCCGGATCGATCTGGGGGAGGTTTGGGAGGTCAAAAGCGAGAGCTTCGATGACCTTGATGGTTCTTTGGAGTTCTCTTTGTCTTTTTGCTCTTTTTTCCCTTTTATGTTGATCTTTTCATGGGGAGAGATGATTTTGATTGATTTTGATGGTCCTCAGTCCTGATTGTTTTCTTTTTGTTCCTTCCCTTGTTGTTCTGATTTTTTGGGATTTTTCATGGGGAGAACGTGTATGCTTTTTGGCATCGGTGAAGATCCATGGGTCACTTCGGACTCGGGAAGGTGGCCGGAGTTGTGGTGTCCCGGTGCTTGGTTTGTTGTCCAATCCCATACCTTAGCCAGATTCGAAGCAAGTTCAGTCATTCGGAGTCATTCGGTGCTTTCCTCTCAAAACTTCTTAGGTGTGCAGAGACATCGAGCTAATTCACCACTTAAACTACTCTAGCGGATGGAGGGGGGGCGGTTCCTCAGTGAGTCTACGTCGTCGACCAAGCAGTCCAGTATCTGGATTTCATGGATTTCATATGAGAACATGAGTATATATCATATCAACAAGACTCATCTCCTCTGTTCCTTACAGTCTTCCTCAAAGGCGAGGATGTAGAGCAGCTTTCATTGCTTCCGCTTCGACCGGTCTCAAGAAACACCAGGTGGACGGCCGGTGCGAGTGCTCGCCGCTGTTTTTGTGCCGCCCCTCCGGTGGAAGGGAGGTCGTTGTTCGGTGGAAGGGATATGGAGGGTGGGAGGGACGTGGGGAGGACAGCAGGGGGGATTCATGGCCAAGGGGCAGAGGTCTGGCAGATGAAGTCGAACATTTCTCTGCGGGGTCCAACAAGAGATTTTATTGTTTTGCTTGTCATCCGTGACTCCTTCTTCACGTCTCTTTGGGGGCTGTGTAATGCACTTCAGGCAAGCCATGGCAAACCTTCCTTGCACTGCAGCACAGAGGAGAGCAGACCAATCATCCTCCACCAAACGTTCTTTGACAAATCCCCATGAATCTGACACCTTTGGAATCGACGCACAAGGTTTGCCGACATCACTTATCCCCCAAAAAGTAGGGACTGTCTCCAGCCCTCATCCAACCTACCTGGTCCTCCAGCCCTCATCCAACACCCCGCGCCCTCTCCCATCCGCGCCGCTGGGTCGTTTGAGGCCACGACGCACCCGTCGCTGCTGCAGCTCACGGAGGACGAGGAGATGCTCAGGGACTCTGCCGAGCGCTTCGCGCGGGAGCTGCTGGCGCCCCACGTCCAGGATGCGGAGGGACAATCTTCGGGGGAGGCTTCGTGGAGACACACTGTGAGGTGGCCGGATGTGTCAAAAGCCAACACGTGTTGCAGGATGTTGCAGGCGAAACAGGCAGCCCGGTGCTAAAAACACCTGATTTTATTCAGCCGTTGTTGTCGGCCATGTGGGGGCACACCGTTGACTTGCTTTGCTTTGACCCGGAAGTGCTGAACATGGGCATCCAGTCACTTGTTGCGCTGGGGGTGTTTTCGCTGCGAAAGGAGATGGATCGGAAGGGCGCCATGTCCAAAGAGATCGTCGATGCGCTCTTCGAGCAGGGCCTCATGGGCATCGAGGTGCGACGGCAAAAAGAGATGTCCGGAGGGCGGGGTCGCCCGCCAACGAACCGTGGCGGTTCGATGAAGAGTGGGATGGGTGGCTTCTGGGGAAGGATGTCGGCGGCTGATGTGAGACGTTTTGCAAGCTTTTCCATGCTTTGGCTGTGTAGGAAGCAGTGTGTGGTGCGGCATAGCTCACCAACCAAAGGTTGGTCAGGCCAAGGGTGGTCATTTGTGCATCTTCTTCAATCACAGACATCTTGGCATCTCAGCATCTTCTTGACTTCACCAAAGATCCGCTGTTCTTGTTTCCCCCACACCACCGGGCCGCCGTCCGCCGTCTACCGCACCCGCGTGCAGCGCGTGCAGCGCGCGCGGAGCGCGCGAGGTGCCGTCGGAGTTTGGCGGCGTCGAGCTGGGCTTCACCGCGGCGTGCTTGGCCATCGAAGAGGTGGCCAAGGTGGATCCAGCCGTCTCTGCCCTGATGGACCGGGCGGATGGGTGGCGGGATGGTGAGGGGGGGATGGACAGATGGGTGGGGATGGTGAGGGGAGCTGGCGATGGTTCTTGTGGCTCTTGTGGCGATGGTTCTTGTGGTGTCTGAAGGTTTGTGGCCCTA